GACAGAAGCTCTAGGCTCAGGCTGAAGGTCAAAGCTGGACTCAGGCTCTCGACGCTCAAGGGTGGACGCACGAGTCTCAGGCTCTCGACGCTCAGTCAGGGACTCTGACACTGCAGTGTAAGGAGCAGGAGCAGGCAGTGGGGAGTGCGGTAGCAGCGGCGGCTGTGACTGGTCCGCCGGTGGAAACAGTAACTGAGGAGTAGTACCTGCCACAAGGAAGTCAGTAGCACCTGGCGGAAGACTGAGAAGGTAGCAAAGAGCACCAGTAGCTCCCAGACCTTCAGCACAAGCAGCTCCTCCAGTACCCCTAGCAACACCTCCAACACCAGTAGCACCAGCACCTCCAGCACCACGAGCTCCGACAGCGCCAGCACCTCAAGCACCAGTAGTACCTCCAGCACCTCCAGTGCCTCCAACTCCAGCTCCAGCGCCTCCAGCACCAGTAGTACCTCCAGTACCTCCTGTGCCAGCAGCTGCAGTTGCACCTCCTGCACCTCCAGCACCAGCAGTACCACCTACTCGGGCAGCTTCAGCACCTCCAGTACGAGCACCTCCAGGACCAGTAGCTCCAGCACCTCCAGGACCTCCAGCGCCAACGCATCCAGCACCAGCAGCACCAGCACCTCCAGGGTCAGCAGCTCTCGCAGCTCCAGCACCAGTAGCACTAGCACCTCCAGTGCTAGTAGCTCCAGCACCTCCAGTAACAGTAGTACCTCTAGCACCAGCAGCTCCAGTACCTCCAGCACCAGTACCTCCAGCATCGGCAGCACCTCCAGTTATAGCACCTCCAGTACCTCTAGCACCAGCAGTAGCTCCAGTACCCCTAGCACCAGCAGCTCCAGTACCTCATGCACCAGCAGCACCTCTAGTACCTCCAGTAGTACCTCCAGCACCTCCAGCACCAGCAGCACCTCCTGGACTAGTAGCTCTAGCACCAGCAAGACCGTACCCTCCACCACCAGGACTGCCTCCCAGAACGACCCACGCACGAATCGCCTACGGCGAGAGCGTCTCAAGTAGAGCAGGTTGCGGTGGCTGTCCAGCTCCATTACCTCCAGTAGTGGTAGCTCTAGCACCTCCAGCACCAGAAGCACCTCTAGTACCTCCAGCTCCAGCACCTCCAGCACTAGCAGCAGCTCCAGTACCTCCAGCACCAGTAGTACCTCTAGTACCTCTAGTAGGACCTCAAGGCCTAGTAGCTCCAGTACCTCCAACTCTAGGACCTCCAGAAGGACCCGCAACACCCCTAGAGTCAGCACCCGAAGTCTCAGCACCCCCAAAGTCAGCACCCTAAGGCTCAGCACCCTCAGTCCCAGCACCCTCAGTCTCAGCACCCTCAGTCTCCGCACCCTCAGTGTCCACAGCAGTAGGCTACAGAGGCGGCGAAGACGACAGAGGTGGGAACCCGGGGGGGGTAGCCAGTTAAGGAGTGAGGGCTCCCCCAGACTCACCAACCCCATTCCTAGCTCCAGTAGTCTCAGCTCCAGAGTCCACAGCAACAGGCTGCGGAGGCGGCGAAGACGGCCGTGGCGGGAAACCCGGGGGGGTCGCCAAGCGAGGAGTGCGGCGAGTGGTCGCCGTGTCGTCGGCGACGGCGTCACCCTTCTCAGGTGAGTCAGAGGAGTCAGAAGAGACCTCAACTAGCTCATCCAAGGGGGGTGGGACTACCTAGGACACACCTGAGGGAGCAGGACCCTGTGGGGGGAGGGGGTCTACCGGGGGGGGACTAGTACCAGGAAGAGGGGTGCAAGGGGGACCGGGTGGGACGCGTGCGGGTGAAGTCGGTAGTAACAGACCGACTCGACGAAGGTGACGTCTTGAGAGGACAGAACACGACGCGAGACAGGGTGGTAGAACTGCCAGGGTGGAACGTCGGTGGGGAAGCCCAAGAAGACACAGCGGAGAGTGCGATGAGAGAGCTTGCTTGCTTTGGTATCGCGAACAAGGGAGAGGACGCCCCAAACCTGAAACGACGACGCATCACCAGGCTGTCCCGTCCAACGGAGTGTGGGCAAGGTCTCTAGAGCAGAGACACGGGGCCAGAGGTTGAGCTGATGCGCGGCATATCGGACCGCAAACGATGACAGGAAATGGGGAGCACCCGCATGGATCATGGAGGTATGAGCAACCTCCATGATCAGGCCAATGCGACACTCAGCGATCCCATTTTGATGCGGAGAGGCCGGAAGGGTGAACGACTGGGCGATGCCCTCATCCTGGCAGAACGTCTCAAGGACGCCAGAAGAGAACTCACCGCCCCTGTCAGAGTGCAGACGCAGGACTTGGAAGTCCTGCTGAAAGCGCTCGTGTAGCTGGAGACGAGTAGCACGGATCCAGACGTCCGCCTTACGACGCAAGGGGAAGACTGTGGTGTAGCGTGTGTAGTCGTCAACAACCAGCAGGAAGTAGCGCTCCTGGTCCGTCCCACCAACGGGGGCCGGGCCCCACACGTCCAGGTGGAGAGTCTGTAGAGGAGCAGTGGTCGGAGGAAACTCGGAGGAGTGAGGAGCGGTGCGCTGCCGCCCCTCGACATAAGGAAGGCACGGCAGCCCAAGTGAGCGCGGGAGGGGGGGCAGGGTCTCAGGGAGGCCAGAGACCAGGAGCCGGGAGTGCATGCGGCGTAGACGCTGCAGGGAGGGGTGACCAAGACGGTGGTGCCAGAGCTGAGTCTCGTGCGTGAGTACTCTGCACGAGCAAGACACAGCTAACTGCCCTGACGTAGATGCTCGACTTGACGCAGCTTCCTGACCTGACTCAGCCACCTGTGCAGACGCAGTGACGGTCAGAAGTAGGTCCAGCACCTCCAGCTCCTACAGCGCCAGCAACACCTTCTGCACTCCTAGCAGCACCTCCACCACTCCCAGTAGCACGAGTAGCAGCAGCAGCAGTAGTAACAGCAGCAGGGCGGCGCGCGGCCATAGCAGGGCAGTAGTAGGCAGTAGCTCCTAGTGCAGAAGCACCTAGGGCCCCTTTTTGTATATATAAGCAATTTAATTATATTTAGGGTATAGCAGGGCGCTGGCGCAGGGCAGGGCGCTGGCGCAAGGCAGGGCGCTAGCGCAGGCTGCAGCATTGCGTGACGCGAGGGGCAGCAGAGCGCGACGCGACGGGCTGCCTTAGGGCGCAACGCGCGGGCTGCAGCAGAGCGCGAAGCTCGGCTTGGCAGGTCCGCGCGCGAGTTGTAGGGGCAGCGCGAACGGGCTGCAGAGGCGGCGCGCAAGCTCCAGGGGCGACGCGCGGGCTGCAGGGGCCGTGCGAACGGGCTGCAGAGGCGACGCGCTGCTCGGTAGGTCTGCGCGCGGGCTGCAGGGGCAGCGTGTACGGGCTGCAGGGCCAGCGTGAACGGGCTGCAGGGGCAGCGTGAACGGGCTGCAGGGGCAGCGTGAACGGGCTGCAGGGGCAGCGTGAACGGGCTGCAGGGGCAGCGTGAACGGGCTGCAGGGGCGACGTACGGGCTGCAGGGGCGACGTACGGGCTGCAGGAGCGACGTACGGGCTGCAGGGGCAGCGCGCGGGCCACAGGGGCAGGCGCGGCTGCAGGGGCAGCACGGTAGCAGGGGCGAGCACGGCTGCAGGGGCAGCTCGGTCATAGGGGCGAGCACGGCCGCAGGGGCAGCGCGGTCGCAGGGGCAGCGCACGGGCTGCAAGGGTCGCGACAGTGAGAGCTAGGGGCGCCAGCGCGCTGGCTACTGTATAGGGCGTGACGCTACTACTAGGCGGAACGGTGGGCCCATGTAGGAACGGTTCCTGCTCTGATAACATGTCAAGAATAGAACTATGAATGAATGATTGAACTAGGCAAGAGGTGAGTACAAGTAGGGGAAACCTAACCCTAAAGTGTTGTACTCACTAAGGAGTGATCCTACTGTAGCCTAGAGATACAATTGTAATCTGACATAAGGTACTTTTGAAATAGCAATGTTTAATCTTCTAAAATTACATCCGCACAAAATCTGTTTTTTTAGGAAGAAAACATGGACTTAAATAAGGAAAGCACCTCATTTAAAGAATATTCTCATAATTTTCCCTATTGAGTACATCGATACGACAACTTCCTCCTCCCCACCCCCTCCCCCTCCCCGCCCTCTACCCACTCCCCGTTCCATCTGGATTCTGCATATTAATAAATGTTTAAACTAATTTTACAGATATCACATTAGATGCTCATGTTGAATAGAGAATGCTCATGTTTAATAGAGAAGAAACACACATAGCAGTGTACCTAATACGTACTCCTCATAAGCAGGGCATGGTGTGGTGTATTTCCTTTTACAATGTGACTTCAAGACCGAGGGAGGAATCCCACAGGCATACACCACGTCATCATCCGCTGTTTCGATAGCTTCCCGAGATTGCGAGTGTGAAGACGGTGTGCCTCTGTAATCCGCCACATGGCACGGACTGCTCACCAGGGTCACGAACCACGACCAGCACGGGGAATGTGCGTGAACCTTGGCGGCCAATCTGATTGATTCCAGAGCCTACCGAACCTGCACCAAACTCTCAAGAGGCTCCTATCCGAGCCTTGAGCCTAACCGAGGCACTTCAAGGCGTGTCCAATCAGTTCGTGTCTAGCGGATCACGACCTTGTACGTTTTGCAACCGGGTGGATCGACTTGACGATTCCCACAGAAATCTGTCCTTTCAGTCAAAGTGCGCAAAATGCACCCAAAACTGTCAGGTCTAAAGGGTGTGAGGCTTAGTCGCTTCAGCGAACGCGAGCCTTCCCAACCAAGCAACCTTCAGAGAATTCTCTGGGGCTTCGCCTGCATGCACCATCACCTCACCACAATTACCACCTCCCCTTGCCTTAAATGCAAGCATATCTGCAAGCAACTTCACACGTTGATCCTCATCGCAGTTCTTAGCTTGCAGCAGTGTCTTTTCATCCTTCGTGCTGCTGCTTTTGATTTGTTTGCCTGAGTGTTGCGAGCAGGGGATTTTATTGGTGCGAGACTGCAGTTATTTTTGTTAAGCGAGAGGAAGCTGATAGGATAAGCCATGGAATGTTTAGCTCACAGAGCCCCAGCGCCTGTCGCGCTCGCGAACCCCAAGGTCGAGCACAGGCTTCCTGCTTCTTCCGCGTCGCTTAAGTTCGCCGCTAGCCCCGCTCTTGGTAGCAAGCTCGTGGCGAAAACTCGTCAAGCTGCACGTGCGAGCCAGCCGCAGCTTCGGCGAACCACCCCTCGCTGCGAAGCCGCACCAGAAGGCGCTGCTCTCACAGCTCCTGAAAAGAAATCCTCAAGCGACGATACCATTCAGCAGTTTCTGCAGCGTGATTACAAGTACGGGTTCGTGTCGAACATCGAGAATGTCCAGATTCCCAAGGGATTGACGGAGGAGACAGTGAGGCTGATTTCGGCGAAGAAGAGGGAGCCGGAGTGGATGCTGGAGTTCCGTTTGAGTGCGTTCCGACAATGGCAGAAGATGACCGAACCTGAGTGGTCGGACAATCGCTACCCTAAGATTGACTTCCAGGTATGAAGAGGACACTGCTGTGGAAGGTAGTGAATACAAGCAAGAGATTTTCAGCAATTAAAGGGAAAAGCATTGGACAGAAACGGCAATAAAAGAAAAAAAGAGAAACAGATGTAGAGATGAATACAAAACAATCAATTCTCCGTCCATTTTCCACTATTGCGGAGGTCAAGTAGACCCGAGCTCCCAGCCCCATCACATTTGCTCCCTTTACCCCCTCCGTTCCCCCTCCTCCACATCCCTAACATCCCCAACTTTCCCCACACCCAACCCTTCGCCTCCCTTCCCCCTTCCATCCGCGTCATCGCCGACACCACACGCACCAGCACTTGATTACTATTCGGAGCAGAAGCACAAGGAGACGAGACGAGGTGGACCCGAAGCTGCTGGCGACGTTCTTGAGACGCCTCAGTAATGCCCCCCTCCACCGTTCCTTCCCCCACCGTTCCCTCCCCCACCTTTCCCGCGCACCTTCACCAGGACGTGATTTACTTCTCGGAGCCGAAGCAGAAGGAAACCAAGGCGTCGCTCGACGAGGTCGACCCGGAGCTGCTCGCGACGTTCGACAAGCTCGGCATCTCCATCTCGGAGACCCGGAGCTGCTCGCGGCGTTCTTGAGGCACCTCATCAGTGCTCTCCCCCACGTTTCCCTCCCAGGACGTGATTTACTACTCGGAGCCGAAACAGAAGGAGACCAAGGCGTTGCTCGACGAGGTCGACCCGGAGCTGCTGTCACGTTCGCCCCATTTACCTGTTCTTTTCCTCGTCCTCCACATCCTCCTTTCCCCGCACCCCCCGCTTTCCCCACGCACACCAGGACGTGATTTACTACTCGGAGCCGAAGCAGAAGGAGACCAAGGCGTCGCTGGACGAGGTCGACCCGGAGCTGCTGGCGACCTTCGACAAGCTCGGCATCTCCATCTCGGAGCAGAAGCGCCTCGCGAACGTCGCCGTCGACGTCGTCTTCGACTCCGTCTCCATCGCGACGACCTTTCGCGAAGAGCTCGCGAAAGCCGGCGTCATCTTCTGCTCCATCTCCGAGGCCGTCCGGGAGTACCCGGACCTCGTCCGGAAGTATCTGGGGAAGGTCGTACCCGTCGCGGATAACTACTACGCCGCTCTCAACTCCGCCGTTTTCAGCGACGGGAGTTTCTGCTACATTCCTAAAGACACGATCAGTCCCATGGAGCTCAGCACGTACTTCCGTATCAACGCCATGGAAACCGGTCAATTTGAGCGTACCCTAATCGTGGCGGATGACCGGAGCTATGTGAGCTACCTGGAGGGGTGCACGGCGCCTTCGTACGATAAGAATCAGCTGCACGCGGCGGTGGTGGAGCTGTGGACGGGCGAGGGCGCGGAGATTAAGTACTCGACGGTGCAGAACTGGTACGCGGGCGACAAGGACGGCGTGGGCGGGATCTACAACTTCGTCACCAAGCGCGGGCTGTGCGAGGGCAAGAACTCCAAGATCTCCTGGACGCAGGTACGCGTTTGTGGGTCATCCCATAGAGAGCTTTTATGATTCTTGTAGTTCTCCGAAGTCCAACCCCGTCCCTCCCTTTTTCACCTTCGTCTCACTTTCGCAACCCCACCCCCACGTTCTCCCCCCCCCTCCTCCCCCTTCCCCCCCCCCCCCCCCTCCTCTTCCCCACCACATACACACGCTTTCCTCTTTGCTCGCTCTTTCTCGGCTTCGGTCTAGGTTCCCACCTGCTGCCAGTGCTAACTGCCGTGCAAGTACCCTCGCTGACTCTCTAACGCGTACATGCTCCTTTTCCTGTTTTCTCAGGTGGAGACGGGGTCCGCCATCACGTGGAAGTACCCCTCTGTGGTGCTCAAGGGCGACAACAGCTCCGGCGAGTTCTACTCCGTGGCGCTCACCAACAACAAGCAGCAGGCCGACACCGGCACCAAGGTGAGCACGGCGACATGCGGGCCGTTTGCTTGAACGACTGGCAGCTTTAGTAGCAGGCTGATTTAGTGCGAGCTCTATTCTGTGGGGGCTTATCGACAAGAAGCAGCAGCAGCAGCAAGGGGACGTAGGGGGCATTATGCCGGGTGAACTGCGAGCCGGTTGGTGGGTAGCGCGCAGCAAGCAGCAGTTTGACAGGGCACCGAATTGTGGGGAGGGTACCAGGGTCTATGGGTCGTGGGGCGTGGTGGGATGTGGGTGTGGTAGGCGAGGGAGTAGAAGCGAGAAAGTAGAACTGTTTGTGTGAGGCCGCTGCTGCTGGACTCAAGGACGATTAATCCCATGTTCATGATGGTCCGAGGGTGTGCAGCCTAGGGGCAGAATGTTTCCAGGGCGTTTAGTCCAGGCACATGATGGTCGAAGGGCGACTTGCTGAGAGGGAGGCATGTCTATCATTCCAGCCCAGCTACCTGTCTAGACCACTAAGCAATCCTCGTCTTATGTCCAGTGCCCTCTTTCCTTCCACATTCAAATCTCCAGAGGATTCACTTGGAGACAAACACTTGCAGCCGCATGTATTCGAGGGCAATCACGCTTCACCGGTGTTCTTGCTCCACTATGTCTCATGCTCCTCCTCCCAATCCTCTCTTCCTCTCGGCACCCTGATAACCAGATGATCCATGGCGGGAAGAACACGCGCAGCCGCATTGTATCCAAGGGCATCTCAGCCGGGCAGTCGCTCAACTGCTTGTCTCTCATGGTGTTTCTTTCAATCCCCTCCTCCCCCCCTTACACCAGATGATCCACGTGGGGAAGAACACGCGCAGCCGCATTGTATCCAAGGGCATCTCAGCAGGGCAGTCGCTCAACTGCTACCGGGGGCTGGTGCAGGTGCAGCCCACAGCACATGGAGCGCGCAACTACTCTCAGTGCGACTCCATGCTTATTGGGGATAACGCCGGCGCTAACACATACCCTTACATCCAGGTGAGAGACCTTTGAGTAGACTCAAGGGTCACCTGGTGCAGGTGCAGCCCACGGCACATGGAGCGCGCAACTACTCTCAGTGAGACTCCATGCTCATTGGGGATAACGCTGGCGCTAACACGTACCCTTACATCCAGGTGAGTGTTACAAAGTAATGTCGTCTGTGGATAATTTGGAGTGCATCTGCTATTGGAGGATGTGCATGTGCTGGTGGAAGTGTGGCTGTTCATAGTGGTACCGAGTGTTTGTGTTTCTTAAATCAATGTTAATGTTCTTGGTTGCCCTTGAATGTTCCTGAACGCCTTTCGATCAATGCAGGTGAAGGATCCGACGGCTCGAGTGGAGCATGAAGCATCCACGTCTAAGATTGGGGAGGATCAGCTCTTCTACTTCCAACAAAGAGGAATCGACGCCGAGAAGGCAGTGGGCATGCTCATCAGCGGCTTCTGCCGTGAGGTGTTCAACGAGCTGCCTCTGGAGTTTGCCTCTGAGGTCAACCAGCTCATGAGCCTCAAGCTCGAGGGCTCTGTTGGTTAAAAACGATGTGTGCTGATGCTATTCGTTTTGTGTGCTAGTTGAAATTGTTATTTTCTGTCTGGTGTATAAATATATGGGGGAGGAATGTGCTTCAGACTGATAAAGCCGAAAACCGTAGCCTGTAACGAACTCGCTCGGATTCCTTCATTTGCTCCATAAAGTGGAAAATCGAAGAACCCAAGATGTTCGCCTCAGCAGCAGACTTTCATCAGCAAAGCTCGTCTGTTGTCCATTGAGTCGGCGACTCGGCGGCACTTCCCAGACGAATGCGAGGAACTGTCAGGCGCGGCTGAGCAGCGATGGCTGCTGGCGCTCTAAGTCGAAGCGTCCATTCTTTGCGGCGTCTATCCTGCAGTAGAACATCATCCCTGGGCTGTTCGATTCGCTCGTATCTGCACTCATTGGATGTCTCGTTTCCATCTTCCCAGCACCACTCATCACACACCTCGAATCCTCCGCATTCGCACTCGCTGGTTGTCGATCTTAACGAAGTCGCTGCAGTCCCCGCTACAAACGCGTACACAAGTTCGCTCCATACTGTTCCCTCCCGGTTAATTTCATCTCCGTCGGGACCTCAATCGATTTCTGAGAGACTGTCTGGACTTCACTGCTTGCAAACGCGATCATTTCGGTCCGATCTCTCCTGCTCGCGATCATTTCGGTCCGATCTCTCCTGCTCGCGATCATTTCGGTCCGATCTCTCCTGCTCGCGATCATTTCGGTCCGATCTCTCCTGCTCGCGATCATTTCGGTCCGATCTCTCCTGCTCTCGAACATTCCCTGCTTGTATCCCAAATGTGCAGTCTGCAGCCATCCCTCTCACCACCTCCCCCTCCGCCTTATCGCGTCCGTTCCGGTTCCCCCAAATCTCTGCCGCTCAGTTTTCCTCCTCATCGCGAAGACAGTCGAACACCTCCGGCCGTCAACGTAGCCGTCCGAACGACCGTCAAACCAGCCGCCAGAACGACCGCCAGAACGGCCGTCAGTTTGGCCGGCGAGTTAGTGGCGACGCTACCAAGACGAGCAGGCGTGCGGAGAGGATCGGGAATGAGCAGCGAACTGAGACGCGTGGTAGAAAAGAGACATTCAGGGGAAAGAGGAGTCGCGACGTTGGGGATCAGAGCGTTGGGAGAAAGAGGACCTATGACGAGGAGGAGAAGATTGGGAATGAGAAGGGAATTGAGGCGCCTGGTAGAAAAGAGACGTTCAGGAGAAAGAGGGCTCCAGACGTGAAGAAACAGGGTGTTGGGAGAAAGAGGAATTATGACGTGGAGGAGAATGTCGGGAGTGAGCAGAGAGCTGAGACTTCTGGTAGAAAAGAGACATTCAGGGGAAAGAGGGGTCGCGACATGGAGGATCAGAGCGCTGGGAGAAAGAGAATTCGTGGGGTCGAGGAGGAGCAGACGGTTGCGAGACACGGCAGGGTCAAGTTGAAACAGAAGAGCCACGGGGGCGTTCAGCAGCAGAAGCAGCAACCGGGGTATGAACCCACGCGGCAAAAGCAGCAGCAGCAGCAGCAGCAGCAAGGGCATGAGCAGCAACGAAGCTCGCTAGCAGACGACACAGGGAATGGTTCAGTCCCGTGGCGACAGCTGGCACCGGTTCACTTCCCCTCTCTGCTTCCCGTTCAGGGAACTGCTGTGGGGGGAAGAGTCAGGGACGGAGGAGGGGTGAGGGAGGAAGGTAGGAGCAGGGGAGTGCGTTACAGAGCAGGCATTATAAGGGAAGATGATGAGGAAGGTGGTGTAGACACCAAAGGGGCGGACGCGGGGGTTGTGAGTGCACGCAAGTGGGTGGCGGTGTGCTGCCCGCACATGCCAACCAGCCTTGTCAATAAGCTGTTCCGAAAGAGACTGGTGAGTGGGAAGAAGGCATCTTTTTTTTTTTTTTTTTTTTTTTAGAATAGCATTTTTTAGAATTCTCAAGTAATTTTCATGTTGGTGACAAAGACGATGATGATAATGATCATAATAGGCAATGGTGACTATGAAGATCATTATCATCATCATCTTCATAGTCACCACCATTGCCTTAGTCATCTCATTGCTGTCGTCGTTGTCATCATCGTCCTCCCTTTCACTGCCTGTCTGTCACGCCTTTCACCTCTGTCACCTGTACCACCCCACCCACCAGGTGCGAGCCTTTAGCCCGGGAGACTCATCCCTTCCGCCCAGCACCAAGGGTCCCTCACACGCCCGTTTAGTCAACTCAGTAATCACCCCTTCACTGCCTGTCTCTCACGCCTTTCACCGCGGTCACCTGTACCACCCACCCACCAGGTGCGAGCCCTTAGTCCACCAGACTCATCCCTTTCGCCCAGCACCACAGGTCCCACACACGCCCGTTTCAACAAGCTATCGCGGGTGCGTTGCTGTATGTAGACGTGACTGAACCGAATGGTTGCAGTATAAGAGGGGTCACAGATATGTGGAGTAATGTGCCGCGCAACTTGCAAGATGTCTTGCCTAGGAATGAAAAGTTGTGCTCGTGTGAGGAAAGCTAGAGAATCCTCCTGTGTTGACAAGATCCTGTCAATTTCTAGTATTCCCATATTCGAGGCACTTCGGAAACAACGTGATCCGTTCTGCTGGCGGCGATGGTGGTTCAATGTGCCAGCAGTTTCCTCTGCACCTCGTGTGCAACGGATGTCTTGTTTTTGTGTGGATTGTGATGATGTGATGATGTGATGATGTGCCATCAAATGGGATGTTCCTCATGGCTTGCTGCCTGGCTCTGTGCATAGGCAAGCCTTGAAACGCCATGGTGCACCTGTCATGGCATGGAGTGGTGTGGCATGGCATGGCGTGAGATGACATGGCATGGAATGGTGTGGCATGGCATGGCGTGGGATGACATGGCATGGAATGGTATGGGATGCGGTGTGCTGTGATGGGATGCGGTGTGCTGTGATGGGATGTTCCTCATGGCTTGCTGCCTGGCTCTGTGCATAGGCAAGCCTTGAAACGCCATGGTGCACCTGTCATGGCATGGAATGGTGTGGCATGGCATGGCGTGGGATAACATGGCATGGAATGGAGTGGCATGGCATGGCGTGAGATGACATGGCATGGAATGGTATGGGATGCGATGTGCTGTGATGGGATGCGGTGTGCTGTGATGGGATGCGGTGTGCTGTGATGGGATGTGTTGGTTTGGCAGGTATCAGCCAGCCAACTGCTCCTTCCAGGAACCATCCTGTGCATCCCTTCGTCTGTCCAATTGCACACCGATTTTGAAGCAAGTGCTGCAACTCGGGCTGTTGCCTCGTCTGTCTCCTCTGCCGCTCCATCCTCTTCTTTTTCCTCCTTGCCACGTGGCATTCAACCAGAGGATGTCAAAATGCTGCAGAAGTGTGTTCTATACAAGGTAGGTAGGAAGCTGTAGGAGGGGGGGTTAACGCTGGATTCATCTCATCTCACATCATTCCATTGTGCGAACATGCCATTCACCCCCCTCCCTCCCTCCCTTCCCCTGGCAGCATGAGCACATAATATCTTTGTCGGTTAGTTTCGAGAATTTTCAAAACCCAACCCCTTCCCCATCCCCATCCCCTTCCCCTTCCCCTTCCCCTTCCCCTTCCCCTTACCTCCCCCCTTCCCCTGCCTGCCAGGATGAGCACATCCTCGTTATCAACAAGCCTCCAGGCCTGCCCTCCCAGGTAACGCCTGCCCTCCCAGGTAACGCCTGCCCTCCCAGGTAACGCCTGCCCTCCCAGGTAACGCCTTCCCTCCCAGGTAACGCCTGCCCTCCCAGGTAACGCCTGCCCTCCCAGGTAACGCCTGCCCTCCCAGGTAACGCCTGCCCTCCCAGGTAACGCCTGCCCTCCCAGGTAACGCCTTCCCTCCCAGGTAACGCCTGCCCTCCCAGGTAACGCCTGCCCTCCCAGGTAACGCCTGCCCTCCCAGGTAACGCCTGCCCTCCCAGGTAACGCCTGCCCTCCCAGGTAACGCCTTCCCTCCCAGGTAACGCCTGCCCTCCCAGGTAACGCCTGCCCTCCCAGGTAACGCCTGCCCTCCCAGGTAACGCCTGCCCTCCCAGGTAACGCCTGCCCTCCCAGGTAACGCCTGCCCTCCCAGGTAACGCCTGCCCTCCCAGGTAACGCCTGCCCTCCCAGGTAACGCCTGCCCTCCCAGGTAACGCCTTCCCTCCCAGGTAACGCCTTCCCTCCCAGGTAACGCCTGCCCTCCCAGGTAACGCCTGCCCTCCCAGGTAACGCCTGCCCTCCCAGGTAACGCCTTCCCTCCCAGGTAACGCCTGCCCTCCCAGGTAACGCCTGCCCTCCCAGGTAACGCCTTCCCTCCCAGGTAACGCCTTCCCTCCCAGGTAACGCCTGCCCTCCCAGGTAACGCCTGCCCTCCCAGGTAACGCCTTCCCTCCCAGGTAACGCCTTCCCTCCCAGGTAACGCCTGCCCTCCCAGGGAACGCCTTTCCTCCCAGGTAACGCCTACAAAGCGCGCCTCTCAGTGACCACCCTCATGCAGCGCGCCCTAGCCACTAGTTCCCCCAAACAAGCGTCTATTTCTGCACGTTTGTCTCATTCTGTGTGACTGTATCACAAGGGGGCTACAAAGCGCGCCTCTCAGTGAACACCCTCATGCAGCGCACCGCGCCCCTAGCCTTACTCTCCCCTCCTGAGTGTCTTCTCGTCTCGTGCTTCAGTGCCATTGTCTCCGACCCCTTCTTGTGTTTGCTTTTGAGTCGACTCAAAAGCATGCTTCAGTGCCATTGTCTCCGACCCCTTGTTGTGTTTGCTCGGGGCTATGGCTCGATGCATGGTGGATCGCAGGGGGGGTACAAAGCGTGTTTTGAGACGTCTCAAAACACGATGCATGGTGGATCGCAGGGGGGGTACAAAGCGTGTTTTGAGACGTCTCAAAACACGATGCATGGTGGATCGCAGGGGGGGTACAAAGCGTGTTTTGAGACGTCTCAAAACACGATGCATGGTGGATCGCAGGGGGGGTACAAAGCGTGTTTTGAGACGTCTCAAAACACGATGT